ACCGACTTGTGTGGGAATACCGTAAGAGTCGGAGAGATGGCACCCCCGTGTTAGCGTTTTTTTGTAGAGTATTTCTCCACAACTAGGAGGGTGCGAACACCAACTGATACCTCTCAGGAAAGCCCTCGACGAGATGTTTCCAAAACCACCCTTTTCACAAGTGGTACCCCCCTGGTTGCGTACCAATACGCTATACAATACGCTAACACGGGGGTGCCATCCCTCCGACTCTTACGGTATATCACAACCAGTCTCCTACTCCTATAACTTAAGTGATATCACTCTTGTTATGTTTTGTTAGTGTGACGTTGTGACATTCGACTAATACATGTGCGTGTATGCAATTCTACACATACATACATACCGTAAGGTTGCGAGTCAGCGCACAGGGTGCGAACGATTTCCAAAGCGTAATTTCTCCACAACCAGGAGGCTACCACACCGTCGAAAAGGGCGGTTTTGGAATATCTCATCGAGAGCTTTCTTTGACAAGGATCAGTCGGCGCTCGCACCCTCCTGGTTATGGAGAAATTACGCGTTGAAAATCGATCGCACCCCTGTGCACTGACTCGCAACCTTACGGTACTACGCCATCGGTCACGTTCATAAAAAGTAAGTAAAGTGTATCTGGTGTATCCGTACTCCAGATTCATTGGCCTGACCGACTTGTAGAGATGCATGCGAGGATGACCCCTTTCAGGTTGGGTGGCGCTCAAGCGGCCGTGCCGGGAGTCCCATGAGGACATTTCGTGGTCAACTCGGACTTGCTAGTCTTGAGCCCGATCGACTTCCTATTGTAGTAGTCTGAGTCATGATCGAATGGCTCGAGGACTTAAGTCTGGACTTACAAAAGGCCAGAGGGGGTCAGAAAAAGCCCCAGATATGGAAAGGAAAAGGGGTCATCAATTATTTTACCGAAACAAGAAGTTGAGCCCAGAATCTTGCACACTACACGGAGTACAACCGTGTGTCCCCTCCCCCCCCCCCGACAAAAGAACAAACCACACCAACCCACAGTACAACTTGTTCATAGTTGCCTGCAGCTGCGTCACAAGCAAGCAGCACTTCGCAACTTGCATTCATATACCCACGACGATGCTGAATGCCCGACACTCTTGTCGGTAACACAGAATGATCAAAAGGTGTTCGCAGACTTCTCTCGACCCCTGGAGCTACGTCCACGACGACAAGACAAGGAACACAATCCCCACAACAAGTGGGGAGTCCAAAACCAAACGTTCTACTATCAAGTACCGACACGACGATATCTTCATGTCTAACTTTTGCTGAGAGCAGCATGCATTGCTATAACACCCCCCTGCAACTGAAGAAAAATTGACACGGGAAGCCGAACAACATGGACAAAAGTACCAGGAGAATCAAGGCGACCAAGCATAATACAAAATTCGAACCGAAGTTTTATCCCACATCTTACACCCAACAATTAGCTAGAAGAGGCAAGGAATCATGGCGACCAAGCATAATACAAAATTCGAACCGAAGTTTTATCCCACATCTTACACCCAACAATTAGCTAGAAGAGGCACGGAATCATGCCACAACTATAGCTAATACTCGCTCGAACTCGGAAGCCGAGCACCAAAGTGTCCACGACGACAATTCAACAAATCAAAACCTCCCCCCACGCCGAACAGAATAATACGAGAACAATATCAGCATGTAACTCCCCTCACCAAAAACAGACTACGAAGAACATGGCAAGCACACTGTACACCATGCAGTGTACATCGA